TTCGAAAACATACCATTTTTGTAGAAAATGAAAGAAAATCGCATTACAACATGTATCGAGTAATTGCCTTGAAACATTTGAATAGATATTTTTAACATTGAAATACTTTTAGAAAGTAAGCTTATACCAGTAGATTTGCTAGAACTAGCTGTTTGGAATTCATCAACTTTTCTCCACAGGATCATTTCGTAGTGCAGGTCATTCAAAGGAAATATAGGTTTCAACATTCCCGTCTATGAATATTGATCTTTTTCAGACAGCAAAGGTAAGTTTAAAACAGAAATACTTCTTGCGAATCCAAATTACATTTTAAACTTAGAATTGTGATCTACGATCTTATGGGTATGTCACAAATTTGATAAGATACCTTCACTAAGAGGCCGTTAAACATATAATTAACTTTACAAGCGTTACTATAGGTAACTTCGATTTTAGTATGTTCAAGTTCAAGTTCTGTAGTCTCGAGAGTCAAACGATTATCATAGTTTATTTGGCCTGCATTTAGAATTGGGAAAACAAAGGCAAGGTTTATGTTTTATGAACATTCCGATTTGATAGCAAACTTTATTTTTGAGTGTATTAAATCAAATAAACATGATTCCAGCGTGACGGAATCACACATTTGACGAAAAAAACGACATTTAAAAGGCCATCTGTCAAATATACAGAGGTTTCTTGATCTTATATGGGATCTTCTAGAAACGGAGTTGTTTTGTGTTTCTATAAAAAACGTCAATATAAATGTGCGTACATTGTTTTTATTGTTGATGACACTAAACAGCATCGACTTGAAATAAATGAAAGAATTTGTCAGATTTGCAATAAGGGGGAAGTAGAGGATGAAAAACATTTTCTTCTTGTGTGTGATGGCTATAAAAAATGTAGATTTGAATTTTTTAATAAACTAAGTTTTATTGACACATTTGATAATATGTCGGATGAAGAAAAATATAACTTTTTAATGACTTCTGATGATTTTGAAATTGTTAACGAATTGATACATTTTATAGCCTAAATAAACTTTTTAATCAGCGTCGGGAGCTATTTGAAAAAGGAAAAAATTAGATTGTATGATAGTATTTGTGAAACAATGCATGTTGTTTTTTAACTGTATAATTATATGTAAATGTCTTGTAATTGATTTTGTGAGGAAACCAAGTGTTTGGTTTGAAACACAATAAAATCTTGAATCTTGTTACGGGCGTTTTTCTCCTCCGTGACGGAATCAGTTGTACTTTTTCACAAAATGCCCCCTACTACCATCGTCTTTCATTTTCTGCTCATTTTGACCTATTGGAGTGCTCGTTTTGACTTAATTCTATCGTTAAGACAATAGTTCAACGGAATAAACCCGTTCATGTGTTTTACAATGTTCTGACACTGTAATGTTGAAATCATTATGCCGTTACGGAATCACAATTTTAAGCGTGAGTGGAATCACGAGACGAAAATTAATAAAAAGAAGTTGACTTTGAACCGTGTAGGAAATATCACGATTAACATTTTGTGCAATGATAAACTATTCAATGGAATATCATCATCGAATATATCGTCGTGTAGGTCGTACGGCATCAGGAACCATTACACTCTTTTGAATTCCCCTCTGAAAAGTGACATTGTTGAAATCAATGGGAATTTAGGTGATTCCGTCACGTTTGGTTCATCACTCATCAAACTACCACGTGAGAAAATAGCAATACTGATCCTAGCATTAATAATACTTTAGAATTTGTATTCATCCATTGAGGCCATACAAGTAATATCAAGTACAGTGTAAATGATTTAAAATATCATCGTTATAATCATATCCCTCATTGTATGCACCTTGTGAAGTGTTAAAGTCATAGGCCTATCTCTGTGGGGTGACTAAATGTGATTCCGTCACGAGCAGTTTGAAGGGATAAGGAGGTCGTGTGTTCCTTAAACGTCACAGAAAGGAGCGTTACATGTTATCTAAAGTAAATCCTTAGTAAGAAAGGATATCTCTTTATCTGGAAAAAGTTGACAAACTTTTTTGCTCTTTTCGTGACGGAATCACAAAACGCATATGTTTTCAAACATCAAAAATTATATTTTGCCATTTGAGATATCCAATATAACTCCACATATAGGATACAGAAATACTTCATAGACAAAATGAACAAAGAATATTAGTTTGATTATCGATAAATAATATGTTAAGAATCAGATATGCAAAACACTTTATACCACCATCTTGTCTTTTTGCAGACAGCTACTTCCGGTTTATGACAAGCACCTTTATCGCATATATAAATTTAAATACCATGATAAAATAATGGTATTCTCATTTTTAGATGAGAGATTATATATCTAAATATTTATTTTTTCTATTCTACTTTTCTGAATGATACTTTGAATTTTTTGCAAATGTGGCCTCTAATCATGGAATTCATGTAAAGCTTTATTGCGCCGGGACCTGTACGTTCGCCCAATTAAAGGCAAATGTGCCGTCAATAGTAGCTTATAGTTTCTAAATAGCTAAATAAAGCTGAATAAAGCTGACATTATAGATATCACCTTTGTTCATCTTGGGCCAACCTTCCATTGAGTTCTATGCTAAAAGCTTGCAATAGTCACTTAATTTCATGATTTATCAAAGAGTGTTAGTTAAATCTGTCTGAAATTTGAATGGCATACTATTAAATGACCCTTTCAATCAACATATTGTGATTAAACATGAAAATGTTGGTTGTCATACGATTAAACCATGGTTTTAAAGAATTTTAGCATAACATCAATGGAGATTTGGCCCAAGTTTTTTTAAAATGTCATGGAGAATGATTTAAATGACATAAATGTGTAAATCAAAGCTATAATCTGATAATTGTAGGAAACATATCACTGAATTCAAATATGCTATATACGCTGAAAGCGGCTTTGCACGCCGCTTTAAAGCGCCATCAAAGCGCCGTCGGTGTAAACTTAGCTTTAACAGTTATACATTGGTATACCAAATTCCATGGGGATCTATGATGTAAGAAGAGAGGGCTATTCCATATTTTTGGGATAAAGACACATGATTTTAAAATCTGTTTTCCTTGAATATGAATGTACATCCTGACTAAAGAGACATGTCAAAGTGAACATCACACATACTAGTACAGTAAACGTATTTTTCATAACTATGAATTGTAGGTGTATGGTCCCTAAACTGCTAAAGCTAACATGAAAACTGAAGTGAGGTTAATTTTTGAAAACTTCAAGGAGTAGGGGTGCTTCGGTGTCACATTTGTAAGAGTCCAAAATTCCCACAAATCATCTTACCTACTTCTTGCATTGTTATAATAAAGCTAAAACCATTGTGAATTCTCATGTCCACTGTTTTGTTTGCGTATTTTTAGTCCAGTGTAATCTTCACTCATGTATCCATTTTTTATTATTTATAAAGCCTCAATCATGATGATATACTGACTAGATAAAATATACTAGTGATAATTCATACCACTTTTGGTGAAGTCACAAAACTGGAGGATTAATCAGGAAGTCTAGAAGTAGTTCCGGCAAATAAAATGGTGGACATGAAATATTTATAAGAAACTATGGTTCAGAGCTTTAGTATACTCTATCTGAATGCTAGGAAGTGCACATTTTCATGCTCCTTCGATGTTCCTTGGTAAGGGGGCGTAAGGTAAGATGATTTCTTGAGATTTTTGATTCTTGCAAATGTGTGACTGTTGCAAGGCTATTCATTGAAACTTGGCAAAAATTAGCCCCACTCGATCTTCATTCAGCTTTAGGGACCCATGCACCTCCAATTCATTGTTGTGAAAAATACGTTTAAAAGTGATATTTTCTTTGACATGTCTTGTAAGTCAGTTAATGCTTTTACATATAAGGAAAACAGACATAGAACCTGGTGACTCTTTAACTAAAATATGTCTGCCATTTTTGTACTCTTGCCTAACTGCCGTTACCTTCTCTTGATACTGACCATTCTCAAAATTCATTTCGTTCGTTGCGTACCTTCACTACCTCTCTGACGTTGTTAAAATAGTACTAAAATTCCCGGGGCACGATCTTAGAAAGCTTCAGAAATTAGTACTTTCTTTATTACGAAATCAACAACGCCAAAACGTTAACATTCCATAAATCATAACGTTTACAAATGATTTTACCATTGAAATTGGTAATCAATGTTGTATTTGATGTGTTTTTAGGTAAAAATCTCCGCGGAGCAACAAATTGTAAAATGTCAAGAACGATAATCACTGGGTTCAACATTACTACACGATTTCAAGATGGCGGTGTCAAAATTTTCCAAAAACGCTTCAAATAATATTATGTTAATTTCTGGCGAGTTCACCAATATCATAACGTGTTATCTAACAACAAGATCAAGAAATATGTAAGAAATTCAATTTTATCGATTAAAACATCACATCGACATGTGGTATTCGTTTATTAGACGATTAAAATTACGAATATAGGGATGACGTCACTTCAAAACGAACTGCATAGCAACGGGGTTAATAAACAATTTCTGACCTTGCAAATTCCTTAGTATTCATTTTTAACAGTTTGTTACGAATTGCTTAATATTTTTGTTTTAAATGAATTCTTACTACATTAGAAATAAACATTTTATAAAATATAAGGAATAAAATCAGTAGCAAACGCAAAGAAATATATTTTTTGAAGCAGGTCAAAATATTTAGAAGGGTAAATTTCGCGGGAATTTAAAGATCTGCATGAGGTAAGGCACAGGAGGTACGGATGGCACTGGACGAAAGGCTCGGAGACTGGATACTGACCAGTGATAAGAGCTAGCTCAACCATGGACGTATTTTCGCAGTTTTTCTTTATAGTCTAGTTTCGTGTAATGTGAAGATACGTTGTGTAAATCAAATGGTTAGCTTTAATTCAAATCTTATGCACAGTCAGAGAGAATATGTAATAATAAAGATCTTGATAATTCTTTATCCTCGTGAGAATAAATAAGGAAAGATACGAAAATACGTGATATATAGTCTAGTTCAAGGTCAAAAAGTTTTGCAGAACGACTTCACGAATATTTTTATTTATTACGCCGTATAATGTGCCTAACAGCTTGGTATGGCATAACACAAGTCGACTATGAGAAACAGAAGTAATTCAGGCGTCCGATTAGACTATTATCAGAGAGTTGTAAATAAGACGGTACTCAGACATCAGGTAAACAAACACTCATTATTTTTAGGCCGTGCCTTCACCTTATCCCGTTCCCGGACTATAGTCCTGCACTGATCGCATTCATTTGCCTGTACTATTACAACTTGGGAGAATTATCTACGCCCCTTACACTTAAGATACCTACCTCAATGCATTATAGAACTCAAGATGTAACTTCTAATATATTGGACATAGGTTAAGGGTTAAGTAATAGTAAGCTGTATAAAGAAGAGACAGGTCAACAACTAGGATTTAGGCCACTTGTTAACATGGCGATTTTAACATTATTTGTGTATAATTTTCAAAAAACAATGCAGAGTTGATCCAAAATTGATAGTTTGCAATTCTTACCTATGAATCAACCACATTCAAGTGATATAGAGTGAATAAAGCCGTCTTGAGGCGAGATATTCTGAAAACCTACAATTGCCTGGCAAGTTACCCGGATTTCCGTGTTGAATCATGAATGGAAGTTTGAAACAAGGAATTTGATTGGTTCCTGCTAACCGCCGCCAGTGACACCTATCTGGTTCTCTAAAATGTAATTCATTTTCTAGAAATAACAATCAATTAAAGTGTACAAAACTATAAAAGGTTTACTTAATAATTATTTATCAAAACATCTGATTCATATAATATATTTTTAAACCCATTTTTCTTGGAATTTTAAACTTCTAATTACAACCAATCAAATCAATCGTTACAAGATTCAATCTTTCCATGTGTCCGGAAGTTTCAACTTGCCGGGCAATTGCAGGTTCGTACAGTTGGTGTTTTTTTATGCTGTCTTATCGAAGAGTTAGGATATAGATTTGAAATATTCAACAATCTACGTTTCAAAAACACTTTGGAGAAGATTCTTGGGAGATTTGGTGGTACGACTCGATATCAGTAAGGAGAACTCGTACCAAGACGGCAAGTTTTTGAAAAAATTTTCAATCCTAATTGTTGACCTGTCTCTTCTATATACAGCTTACTATTACTTAACCCTTAGCCTATGATATTGGAACCGCCGATTGTCTGGGTATATCGGCAGAACGAGAACATTTTCTCTTTTTCATCGAGAGAGATTCCATCACTTTTCAAAATGGCGGTTGGATTTAAAAGGGGAATCCCCCGTTTGGCTGTCCCGGATGTAGCCCGGAAGTACCAATATGGAGGAATTTGACGGTTGAAATAAGTTAAATGTTACACGCAAATATTGCGATCAAAAACGAAAATGTCTTCGTTCTGCCGATAAACCCAGACAATTGTGGATTCAACTACACGAAAAGAATGCTAAATTACCACGGAATCTATTGAAGTAGGTATCTGAAGTGTAAGATCAGTAAAAAATTCTCCCATGTTGTAATCGCACAGGCAAAAGATTGAGATGTTCACAGGACCATTGTCCGGGAACGGGATAACCTTCACCCTACACATAGAGCGCGAGCAAATTACTACGCTGGCTGCATTTGAAGAGACTATCTGGCTATTTCTCAACTTCTTTCTCATGGTTTACTTTTTGGAAGCACCTACTGACTTATCTAAGATGTTAATGTATCTTACATGGGTGGCAAACCATATTGTATACACTTAATTGAAGAAATATGACAAAAATATAGGAAAGTTTGTCTACTTAATGAATAAAATACAATGTAAAGTTGATAATTCAGAAAGTTACCGCGAAGTTTCCCTTAAAGAATCTCAATATCCTCATATTATACATGTATTATCACGTTAACTGAAGTATTATGAGAGTAGTATATACATTCCTAACATATTTTGCATCATTGATATTATTTTGAAGAATTTTACCATTATTTTTCCTGAGGAAACTTCATTTGAAATACCGAGATCAAATTTTTGGATGAGAGGACTACGCGTGTCAATACAACCTCTTGGGACTAACACTACAACTTGAAAGATGCTCAAATATCGACCACAGTTCTGGCCACAGATCCAGTGCTCATGTGTATCAAAAGCACATACTATAGACTGTGGAATAACTCACTATAATATCAAATTGTTATAAAATTTCGAACTTTTATACAAGGGTAGACCTGGGAGGGTAGCATTTGATCTTGAGCAGTGTTTGATATGTCATGAAATTTTACCAATAAATATTTGATTGCAATGTAGGCCTATCCAAAGAAAGTTACTTATGTCACTGTGGCTAGTCGATCTATGTGGATGCAGTCATTTATATATAATGTATCGTGGGTACTCGCGTACATTATAGGGAATGGGATCATTGCAAAAATATGACAGCAAATCGAGGTAAGTGATCTCAGAGTTTCTACTTAACATTGTGACTTGAAATCTTGCACACATATTCAATATACATAGTATGACAATGTGTGAAAGTTTGAGCTACCATATTCCTGTTATAGGGAAGATATTTGAAAAACATTTCGTAAACGTCAACATACATGTATAAAATGGATGCACCTATGTATCATTTGGATTCAGAACGGTAACAAATGGATGCTTTAATAAATTATACTTTTATCATGATGATTTATTTACTGATGGACAACTGGCCAGATTTTCTTTGTATTCATTGTTTGGATAAACATTCCTCATTCAGTAAAGTAATTAGCCACCCCATTACAAGTAGTCTAAAGGCACCCTCATGAAAAATTGAAAATACTATATATAAACCCATCAACTGGAAAATGCCATTACAGATGAAATAAAGGACCCACGGTCCTGTGCTCACACAGTGTAGAACCTACAGAGGAATGTATATCCTGATTTACAAACAAAAGTATTGGTAAATATGAGATCAATTAAAGATGAGTCCTTTGTTGTTGGTTCAGATATGATTTGTTGTAGTCAAAAGAAAAACTATGAATTTGACCTAGATTTTGACCTAGGCCTTTTAGTGTTCAAATTTTGAAGGAAAGTAGATTTTGAGGGACGGCTTCTATTGTAGATTCTTATTAAGTTGGCTGCATCCGAGCTGTATCTAGTGTTGTGTTGTTACAATTGATAATTTTCTCAAGCCCCATTGACTTAACACGGGATACCAAAATAGCGATTTTTGAGATTTCAAAATGCCATAACTTCCGAACTGGAAGTCGGATCAAAATCTGGTTTGCAGATTCGGATTCCTTGGACAATTTTACACATATTTCATAACTTGAATTTAATTCCAAGAACTTTTTATTGTGACCTACTTTTCGGATGCCTTTTCTCAAAAACGGTAAGAGTGATCAAAAACAACTTGCCTGTAGGGATTAGCTTTTTTTTCCAAGTAACATGATTAAAAAAAACGGAGCAAAAATATTCAAGGACGACTGAGAAAATTGAAAAAAATGACAAAGTATTGGATTTGACCTAGTTCTTGACCTTTGACCTGGTTTAAACCTGATTACACCCAGATCTGGACTTGGACCTGAACTGGACCTTGACTTGGACCTGGACCTGGACATGGAAATGGACTGGTATTTTTTCAATCTTTTCTTCACTTCTCTTGACTTTCTATAAGGCTATCATCAAATCGATTTTTCTCGAAATTTAAAAATCAGCAATTTCTCGGAAACCGGGCGAACTTGGGAAATGGCGATGATAAGTTAAATAGACATTATGGATATGCATAAAATGAATGTGGAAATGACTCAATCCGAATAGCAGTTTTAATTTGTGCAGCCAATGTTGACAGATGGACGGACCAACGGACGGACGGACGGACGGACGGACGGACCAACGGACGGACGCCTGGTCGATCCCATAGTCTCACTGTGTGAGCCAAAAACTATGGTTTTATCGCTGATACTGTTAATTTGAAAAACGGGTCCATAACATGTAATGATGACAATGAAAATGTTGAAATTAGGTACGCTAATGAAGTGAATTCAGAGCAAAAGACCCATCGACCCACTGGAATACCAACAAATCAAGTTTCATAGCCTTGCCAAAGTCGGTCTATTTTACTTATCTTGATTTCTATTATGTCCGCCTTGTACCCAAGAGAAAGCCATGTGCTTTACCGACCCAATGTTTTTGTCGGTAAAATTTGACAAATCAACGACGGCCCTACATTGCCTGACTAGGTCTTCGTGCATTTCCATCGCGAATTCAGTTTTGATTTTGAATCAACATTGAATTGCATGATTTCATTTAGACGAGTATTAATGACTGCTTACATTCCAATGTACATTTAATAACATAATATATTGTAACTCTCAAGAAACACTCGATCAGATCATTGAATTTCAAGTCCTAGACGGGTAGTTTGCTTTTTTTATGCAGATCAACCTGATAACGTTTTGATTGGTCAATCAGCCTGAATGTCAATCAATATGGTTTTGCGATACCCTTAGGTAGCCTAGGTATTATGGGAATCTCGGAACCGCTGAATAACTTAGCATAAGATCAGCGATGATACATTGGATTGTACACGGTGGTAATAATTCAAGATCAGATAAGTAATTAAATACCGACTTGGGCAAGGCTACCAGTTTCAGAGCCATTAACATTCCTTGAAGGTGACAATGAGCAGCCAACAGATGGACCATCCGTAAATCTTGATGATTTTGTCAGCTCAGCTGAACGAGCCTCCAGATTCCTTGAAACAAATGACCATCATTCAAGAATAGTATTATCTATTTACAATTTTTTGAAATCGTGGTAAGTGGAATTTTTCCAATTACCAATATAGCATTATTATTGTTTTCGGACACTGTGGATGAAATATTAAAAATACACACATTCAAAATGATTCAATTGAAACCTAGCCAGTCTGTTCAATGAATCCAATCAGAACGTCTACTAATCCACATGATACATCATAATTAAATTGCTTTTTAAAGCTGATATTTCATACCATAACTCCAAAAATATTATAGAACGCATTGTATTTGTATTTTACTTCCCACAGACATATTTGTGTATGTGAAATAATTATATTACTTGAATTTTTTATTCCCCATTACAAGGTAAACCTATGGCAAATTATACATACCTTCTCACAGCTATGAGCGAGATGATAAAACTGGTCGAGTGAACTCGTTTGAGTT